ATTAAAGCGTACTTTTTACAGGTAAAACAAAAAAATTATTAAACATATTTTTTTTTGAAATTAAAATTAAAATTAAATATTTTTAAAAAAAAATAAAATAAAAGGTAAAAGCCGGTACAAAAATCTTAAAAGGAAAGCAATATATTTTTTCTGTCTGCAAAGGATCGATAAACTCAATGCACGCTTTTGTTTCCTTATTACCTATTTTATTTTAGTAAAGTTCAAAAGATCTGATGATCAGAAAAAAAAGGTATCGGTATTTTTAAAAAGCCCTGCATTATTTTGAGAACGAATATTTTTTTTTTCTTAGCAAGAGGCAACGTGGATTTATTATTAAATATTTAAGAAGTTTTCCTTGATTTAGAAATTAAAGTAATTAATAATTTAACAGGAGAAAGTATCGATATTGCATTACAGTAAGTAGAGTAATTCAAAAATAAGACAAGTATTACATCATCATAAAAAGAAATACATTATTAAAACCAGAATAATACCAAGTTTTTTAAGAACTGATGACATGAAAATTTTGACAGATAATTTAAGCATGTTTTTGGTGGAACCAATTATTCACACTTTTGGGAGAATCTTTTTTGAAATTTTTTTTTTTTAAATAACGATATGTATTAGATAATTAGATATAAATTAGTAAAATAGGGAACCAATACCGATAACGATATTTTAACGATATTCAAGATGATGAACATACATATCGATAAGAATGGGAAAAACCGAGTATATGTAAGTAAATAAAAGGTAATATTGAGTAAATGTGACGAATGAGGCAAAAAAGGAAAATGAACAAATTTAACAAATATAGGTAGAAATATGATTTGTTTAATTCATAAATTTTAGAACAATACCCGGTAATCATAATAACAACGAACTATTATTCATTTTATCAACGAATCTTTTGATAGACCTTGTTTGAGGTATTCTTAAAATAGACAATACCAATCAAAAAATCAAGAATTGACCAATGAATTTAGTAATAATTGTAACACAGTCTTAAACACATAGTAAATACCGTAAATTATAGTTTACATTGTTGAAGTTGTGGATCTTGTGCATTATTTGTACTTATGTACAAATTATCAAAAAATTTATCAAAAAAAAAAAAAAAAAGTATCAACAAAAATTATCAACAAAATTATCAACAGAAAGTTATTAAAGATTAGTAATACAAAATGAAATATACATTCTCAGTATATAAATGTATAAATTGTTTATACGTACGTAAAAAAAAATAATAAAGTTGAAAATTATCAATGCATTACATTAAAAAAAAAAAGAGTCAAAATTTATTTACGTAATTTATACGCCTTTTTGATCATGAGATGAGATGCAAAAAGTAACATCCAACTGAAGAAAAGAAAACGCATTGTTAACTTGAAATTACTTAATTGCGATTTGTGTGTAAAAATAACTATATATGTATTAAGTATATAAAATGCACGTATAAAGTGTATGAAATGTATAAAATGAATAAAGTGTATAAAGAGTATCAAAGTGCAATAAGGTGATAGTTTATATAGTTTATATAGTTTGTATAGTTTGTATAGATAGTTTTAGTTATATAGATACATATCAGATATCAGATATGATATAACGATAGCATATACCGTAACTATAGATATACTAGAGATACGTATAACTGTATATATATATATATGTATGACTATATATATATATATATATGATATATATGATTATCTGCTATCTGCTATAGTCATATGTAAATATATATGTCATATAAAAGTATAACGATAATGATAAAAGATAAAACTAAGGGTATTTACTATGTATAACGATGATAAATAAAGAATAATCAAAATGTTCTAGCGAACGTTACACAGGTAATAAATCTTAAAAATGAAAAACAAAAAGTTTTGGACTATCGAATAAAATTAGCTATTAGTTTGATATAATTTTCATTATACTACATTTATACGATTTTTGGGTTACAAGATTTTTATATTAAAATTGTTAATTTTTTTGATACTTTCAATAATTACAAATACGGAAATCCGATCACAAAAAAAGTGAGTTTGCGTAACGAGGATAGTTTTGGGTTAAAAATATACATCCGAAGTGTATTCCATTCAAATAATTGGTTCCATAATTCGGTAGCATATACACATCATCATACAAGGATAAGAATAAAGAAATCAGCATGCACAGTAACATTAACATTAAAACGGTGCTGAATCACCTGTCATTGATTTAAACAATTTATAATTCTCCTTTGATTATTTCATCAATTTTATTTTGACGTGATCGGAATTAATTTGTTAATAAAGATGTATTAAGCAGCTGATATATAAAACCAATTATTTTTATGCGCTGCGATCAATTTTTATTTTTCTTTCTGACCGTACGTCGTACTTTGTCTAGCATTCCGTTTGTATGACCTTATTATATTATTATAATGTTGTTATCTGTTTATATTATTAAACTTATCTATTATTATCTATTAAATTATCTATTATTATACGTATCGGTTACTTCGATTATGATCCTGACTAATTTAAAGTTGGCGGTCTTGGCTACCTCGTAATATAACAATGTCTTGATTCGGTAAATGCTAATTTATTCTAATTAATTCTAATTAATTCTAATTTATAATAATTTAACATTCATTATACGTACAACAATTATCGGTATATTATAATTATTATAGTTATATATAATGGTTTTTTTTTTTTTTTCATCAACTATTATATCAACTATTACCGTATACGTATCAACTATCATATCAATTATTATTATTAATTATTATCATTTTTTTTTTTAAGCTTAATGTAAGGGTTAATTTAAATGACTTTTATTATATCTCATGTTAAAATAAATAAACATACTATGAAAACTTAAAAAAAAAATGGTCTGACAAAAAAATCTTGAACAAAGTTACAGTAGAAAAAAAAAAAGATAGAGAAATGATATCATTATCATCATGTTAAAGTTTTTTTTTCCCCTATTTTTTTTTTTTTTTTCCTGCAACCCGAGTTTGGCTCAATTGTAATTATAAAAAAAAAAAAAAAATTTAAAATTTTTACAGATACTTAAATATGATTTCTCTCGAATACTCAATTCGTCCATATGCATGCAAAAACTCTGATACTATCCATTAGAAAATACTAAAAAAGTACGTATCGGTGTGTGGCCTTATTTGTTAAAAAAGAGGAATGCAAAAGAAAAGAAAGAAAGAACAAGCGAAAAAAATGTTTAAAAGATTTAATTAACTTTATTTGGGGATCATCCCCATAAAAAAAAAGTTTTTATGATACATTTCTCCTCGTGATCGTAGTGATCAAACAATCGGTGCTTGTAAAGCATCGGTGATTTTTTTATTAAAAAATACTTGAATTATTATTGGCTGAAATTATAATAATTTTTTTTTTCAAATCCTTTTGTGTGATTGTGATAAATCAATTTATCTTAAGAAATGTGTCTGATCGCAGCATTTATCATTATCATAGATTTATCATTATAACTTATGAACGAAACAGATGCGCATACGAAAACATACAAAAAATAACGAGTAGGAGATGTAATCTTTTTTTCCATACGAATTTTACACTCAAATATGATCATTTTTATATAATTTCACCAAGTATATATTATTGAGACCATTTGAAAAGATTATGATAGCGCAACATAAAAAGCATAACGCATATCAGCGTCATCATCCATCCTCGTACGGTTGTGCACTTATACAGATAAAATATGCATATCTTCAACAAGATAATATATTTATTAACGTTAATAATAAAAAAATATATATATCTTATATTTAGAATATTTTAATTACATGCCGACCTTCTTTGTCAAACCTATCTGTCCGGCTAATGCTAATGACAAAAAAAGAAACGATGTACTACCAAAGTTTTTTTTTTCTTTGACAAAAAGTATCACAGAGACTAATCTTTTTTTATACACTTTTCGTAATTTTTTTTATATATTTTGTAGTGTAAAAAATTTAGTTTAAGGTTTTATTTAATATATATATATGATGCTATTTAATGTTTAAAGTGACACGTATAAAATAATTACAATAGTCACAAGCATGTCTATATATACCGCTTTTGTTCTTCAGTCGAATAGTAAAAAAAAAAAAAAAATTAAAAAAAAATAATAGACGACACACAAGCAAAAAAAAAAAATACCTTTTTTTTTTTTTTTTTTTTTTTATAATCAAATTTAAAACTTTAAAAAACTAAAAAAAAAAACGCCTTTAATACAAAAAAGCACTATTTTATATCATATATTTTCAATACATAAGCACTACACAAAACTCTACTTTAAATCCCCCTCTTACCGTTCGTCGTTAACCCCCCTTTCTTATTTTTTTATAAAAATAAAAAAAAAAAAAAAATATTTTCGAAACCAAACTTCCTTAGAAAAAATTTTCTTATAATATTTTTTTTTCTTTTTTTTTTTTTTAAAAAAAAAAAAATAAATAAATAAAAAAAAAAAAAAACTCTACACATATATATATACCTTTCTTGCTCTTCGGTCATTGATTGATCAATAGTGGGAACTAATTGTAGACTTCGTATTAATAATACAACTTAGAGTAGAAAAATTATATTTACCTTCCCGGAGACACAGAAAATATACTTAATAATCTTACAAGCAAACACCTGACAAAAGAATAATACTATTATAAATACCAAAATTAAACTGCATTTTTTTTTCTTTTTTTTTGGACTGCGCTGAATATAATTTGGTAAGTTATTTATGATGTTTTTCAAAGTAGAAGCGAAGTCAAAGTAAAGTTAAAGTCGAGTAAACCATTTTTCGGTAATACCAAAAAACTTCCGAGGAAAAAGTTTCTTTGAAAATTTTACTCACTTTTCGAAAGTCCTCGCTTTTACTCGACTTTTCTTTGAAATGTTATTTTCGATAGACTCATTTCCATATTCATTATATTCCTCTAAATGACTGTTAACCCTTTTTTTTTTCTCTTTATTATTAGATTTTTTTCTTATAATATATTAAAAATGGAAACATATTTCGGTTTCGTTAAATCTCCTCAAGATGCTATTCTATTATTTGAAGCTTGTCGGATAGGTTTCTTATCCCGTATTCAACGAAGATTAAGTGAAAAAGAAAGATCCTCAATCCGTTCCGGTTCAGTCTTTGTATGGGATGAACGTGAAGCTGGCATGAGAAGGTGGACTGACGGAAAAAGTTGGTCTGCTAGTCGTGTTAGTGGAAGTTTCTTAACTTATAGAGAACTTGAATCAAAACGTAAATCAAATTCTCGTGGTTCAAATAACCCTCACGATTTATCAAGTGAAGATACTGACTCAAGTGAATCCTACCATTCCGTAACAAAGAAGTCCATGTCTGCTACTGAACAATGCAGATATAAACATGGTGGTCTCGTTAAACAATCCTTCAGCATAACAACAACTGCTCACCAAAAACTTCATTTAATTTGCTATTACACTAAAGCTGATGTCATAAATGAAAAACTTCAAATTCCTAGTCATGATGAAAAACTTAAGAGTATCGTTATACCAAAAGGAATGTACCCAGAAACTTCGAATGTAGATGGTGTACCTCACGTTCACCATTATGCTTCTGCCCACCATCATCAACATCATGCTCACCATCATCATCATCATCATCAACATAATCATGGTTTCGGTGATAATTCTGGTATTGAAAGATCAATTTCTCCAAGTCCTTATTGGCAATTACAACAATCTCATGCTGCTGCTCACCAACATCGACATTCTGCCGAACCTATGCAATTTGATACTCAATCTGCTTGTTCGACTCCATCTATTTCTTCTTCCCCTTCAACTACTGAAGATGATTTTCCAAATTTCTTTGGTCGTCATAATTATTTACAACATCATCCTGGTGGTAGTACTTCTTCGTTACCAGTATATCCTCCCTCAAATTTCATTCAACCACAATCTGATAATAATTCAGTTTTCGGAAATGGTTCACAGCCTATTAATATTCCTAATGCAAATTCAAGGTTTACTTTCCCGGCTCCTCCACAACTACCGTTCCCTGCTTCTTATCCACCTCAATCTTCTCAAACTAGTGGTTCTCAATTACTACCGCAGGATATCCCATTGGAAACATTAGAAAAGATGATTAGGAATACAGAAGACCAACGTCAATTGAATGCTATTTATACTACCCTGAAGCTTTAATTTTTTTTTTTTTTCCCTTGGATAATGAAATGGTCTTGATAATGAGTAGTTGTGATTTCGGGCATTCATGAAGTAGTTGTGTGTGTGTGTTTTTTTTTTATATGGACAATATAATATTATTTTTTTTGCTTATATTCCTTTTTTGCGCATTAGTATACAGTATATTATTCATCTTAATAAGAGGGCGTTATGACGGCTTTATTGTTTTGGGAATTTACAAAAACATGAAGTCGTGGGCTGGTTCCGTCACTTCTTTTTTCCCGTTTGGTTTTTTTTTTACGGGGCTATCTATTGTTAATCTTTTTTTCCTTTTTTTTGCTATTATCAATTACAAAATGATATTATATTATTATTATTTCTCACCCCGTGTATTCCTTTTCATTTAACCCATCACATTATTTTCGTCATTATAATTCCTTCATCCAATTTTTTTTTT